ATAGAGAGATCTCTAGCTATCAAATGCCCAACTATTGCAAGTCAGTTAGTAGGGACGAAGAAAATCCAGCAAGTCTTGGCAAAACCTGGAGTGGTTGAAAAGTATGAAATGAATTTATAGAAAAAAATACTATTAGATTCATTATATTACACTCAACAAAATTACTCGATTCTGATTGGACAAGAGGAGTACAATCAAATCGTTAAAAGTGTACTCTGTCAGAGTCCCATTTAAGTTGCTCAATTTTGTTAAGCGTATTATAAACAGGCAATCGCACGATCTTCTCGTACAATTCGAAATTTATAGATACTCCTCCACCCGGTAAGCTCAGTTGGTAAGAGCGTCGGTCTGTTGTGCAGGAGGTCGTGGTTCAAGCCTCGGCCGACTAACACTCAGGGTCTTAAAATAACTGAGGAGAAGGTGCTGTCTTTGTAATTACATCCGCAAATGGTTAGGCCTTGGAAGACAAAAGAGAACCTGTTGAATTATTCGTGTAAGTGTAGGGGATTGTCTCCCAGTTCAACAGCCTATCCCTGTCTGGAGGCATAACACTAATGTACTAACAAATCACTCATGTTTATAAGCTGCACGGTTGCTAATAGCGCCTTAATATGCAGCCCGTAAAGTCCTCCACTCATAAAATGTAAAATAATAAAGATGAAGGGAGGGACCGAGGCTCCACAAGCCCACCCCTACCTCTGCTCATGAATAACGCTTGCTTATAAATTGCCTTTACCTTAATTACCAGATACATATCAGATAAGGCTGCYGTACAGCGACTTAGGAGGACATTCACTGGCCTTTATTCTCTAGATGAGGTAAGACATCTTCTATAGTCTTGCATTCCTCAGTGGGAGACCGAGTCTTTAAGAGTTCTCTGACTTCAAATCTCTATAACAAAATAAATTTGTTCATAGAAGATAACACTTGACAGCAATTCAACTGATAAACTTGTGGTCCTCTGTTAACGTCTCTAGTTAATTAGGGAACGGACCATTATTAACTTGGTCATCCAAGCTACGTGAAGGTCTAGACCCTGGGTGTTGGTCCGGCCAAGGCTTGAACCACGACCTCCCGCGCAACAGACCGACGCTCTTACCAACTGAGCTAACCGGGTGGCTAAACTTATTGGACGTTTCGGCTTCGCAACTAAAACCTTCATCAGCAAGATCGTTATGCATAATGGCGTCCAAAATTTATTTATTATCAGTCAAACTCTGTAAAAATAGGAAAGTTATTAGCTTTGAGTGACGATAAATAGCTTAAGCATGTCGGAGATAGACAAGTTTTATTTATTTATTTTATTTCAGAATGCCTGACTGCTCCTACAGCATTTKTAAATTCRAGAGAGTTAACCATTGTAATAAGTGTACCGATATACACTTGTCCCAACAGTATCATTGGCTTGTAATTATAATATTTATTTCCAYGTAGGGTCCAGAAGGTGATCAGACTGTCAAAATGGCACTCGAAGATCCAGATAAGTTTGTTCTCAAGCCTCAGAGAGAAGGAGGAGGTAAGATACTCTTCTCGGAACTCGAATATTCAACGATAATGAATTAGCCTCTATCTAAGAGCTTACTGATGACAATATTGGGTAATTAGTAACAATAATGCGAAAGAAACGCACAACTCTTTCTTGGTTGTCATAGAGGCTTTGCACCATCACGTGATGGCAGCCATGACAGGAGGCAGAAACAATTGAATCTGGTCTAATGTGATTTACATGCGAAAGGATTCAGTTTTCCAGGGAAGAACGACTCTGCTGATGTTCCTGTCATGGCTGCCATCACGTGATGGTGCAAAGCCTCTGAAGACCTTTTTCGAGTTCCAGTTTGCTGTGTTCCTTGATTAAAGACTCATTTACTCAGGGTTAACCTCTTACTAGTGTCTAAATATTCACAAATACAATGCTTTGATGAAATTCCACGGATCATCAATGGGACATATTGTGTAATATTCTATACAAAATCGAGGCTATCCCTAAAAAAGGCCCGACAACTTGAAAATGGAGTGCCCAGTCAAAATTCAAATAGAGTGCACAGTCACCATATGTCTGTGAACCAGTCACTATGATATATGCTACTCAGTGCAACTAGACAATATATATCTATGGTTTTGTATCATGGATATATGAAATTCAAATAGAGTGCACAGTCACCATATGTCTGTGAACCAGTCACTATGATATA